GCGCTGTCGAGGTATCCTTGTATCTGATTTCGTCTAACATCTATTGAATGTATATCCATTTTGATGACGGTTTTCCATGTTGAAACTATTTGGTGTAATTGTCCTTGTGTGTCATAATACACACCAGGTGTGTGTATGAATTCGTTGATTTCGAATGGGGTTTCTGCTTGCAACCCATTTGTCCCGAGGCTGATACTCCTTATCAGGCTGAATGCCCTGTAAGTACATTGGGTCGGGTGTTTAGATAAATATGATCCCCTTTTCCTGTTCTGATCGTATTTCGTGTGGGATAAAAATGCCTCCTTCTTTCTTTATTTCTAAGTTTTTCATTTGCGTGGGGGGAACCTCTTGTTTAGCTTTATTTAGCTCTGTTAGTTTTATTCAGGATGTCGCCCGCTCGCATGTCCTGTCCCGCGTGCTTAGTGGTAGTGTCATTTGTGTTTTGTGATTTTTTCTTTTTTGTGTATGATTTTTGTGGTGTGGTGTTTTTATATTTTGTTTGTTTATTTCTCCAGTGGGATTGCCCATCGTGCTCGGGTTTTTTCTTTCCCGCGGAGATTGCCCCGACGGCGCCCTTTTCGCCGCCTGTTATTCTGTACGGCGAGGAGGCACGCCGCCTCCCGCCTGACCACGGGTATGAGACAAGCACACGTCGGCCCCCGAAGGGTCACGGAGACGGGGGCGCCGGTGCATCCGGGGTGGAAACTCTGCCCCTCGTTGGATCCTCACGGGCCTCTACCCCCTGGCCCAGTATTTTACGTGGACGCGGTAGGGGTGTGCCGCCTCGTCGGTAAGTTTTTAATTTTCTATGTATAGTTTTATGCGATTTGCGTGCGTGCGTAGCGTTCGTCGGCCCCGTTTTATTGTATAATTTTCATTTCCGTGCTTCTGGATTATCTCGTAGGGTCCTATCCACATCGCATCTAGCTTTTTCGATCTACCTCGTCGTACCATTTCATCGTGTAATAGTACTTGATCTCCTACGTCAAGTACAGGACCTTTAGCTGTTCGGTCATAATATTTTTTGCTCTTTGTTTTTTCTTCTTTAACGTGCTCTCGGGCTACTTGATTTGTTGCTCGGAGTCGTTGTTTTATTTCTTGCGCGTAATCATCGATACTATACGTGATCTTTGGTGTTGCTAGTATAGACGATGGTAGGGTTGCTTGGTACCCGTATACCAGTTCAAATGGTGTATATTTCGTGGTTGTGTGTGGAGTTGTATTATAGGTAAAAATCGCGTATGGGATCCATTCATCCCAGTTTGTTTGGTCGTTATTTATGTAGTGTCGGAGGTATTCCGAGAGTGTTCTATGCGATCTTTCCAGTGCTCCGTTGCTTTGTGGATGATGACGCGGTGGTTTGAATCTTTTCAATTTTTAGTAATTTGCATACCGTTTTAAATATTTTACTGAGGAAATTGGTACCTTGATCTGGTACCTTGATCTGAGGACCACTTTGCTGACGCACTACATTATGAGATGCAGTTTGATGTTGATGAAGCGGCGTTTTATTCCATACCGTTTTATCTTTCGCTATGTAAGCGCATAGTGTTTCCCCTACTGCTGCTTGATCCTCTCTCTCACTTTCACTTTCTCCTTCCTCTCCCTCTTCTTCGTCATCTAAGCATATTAGACCAAACTAAATATTAGTTATGATTTTTTATTTCGCGCGGCAACAATTTATAACAATTTTATATACCTTCTTCGGAAGGTGCATCAATTTCTTGAGCAACTGGTATTTCTTGATTATCTACACCAGATTCATCGCTATCAAGAGCCTCACGCTCAGGCAAAATTTCATTTGGTAACCAGTCGTCATCG